TGGCTGAAAATAGTACTGAGGGTAACTTGCTTTGACCATGTGATGACACTTTGAGTTGCAAAATTACTTTCAGATAACTTGCACTGAAAAAGTAAAAATAGCACAGCACGTTAGACTCATCAGTGTGGAATGTATATATGCAAAAATAGGGCTCCTTAATACTTAAGRGTTTGTCTAGGCAGAGCAACCTGTCACGCTACACTCTGCTTCACTTTTAGGCAAACGATTTGCACTGATAGTGCTGCAGGCTGTGCTATTTCCAAGTGTGCATCAAACACGAGAGAAGCATTAATTCAGCCATTCTCTCCCTAGCAGTGGCGCTCAGGAATGTCATTAGTGATCTTAGACAAAGGTGAGAGGTCACAGCTCTAGGAACAAGTGATTAAAATGTTTCCCAATGTAACAGACTAATTAATCTTTAGATAATAACTGGGGKTTTTGTTTGTTTTGTTTTTTTTTTCTCTTTTCTCTCTGCAGCTGGGAGCGTTCACTCTSCCTCCACAAGTATGGCAACATCGGCGCAGTACAGACAGCTCATAAACGACTACGGCCCCCCATCTCTAGGCTACACACAAGGGATGCAGGTACAGCTCTGCTTATTTTCCTTTAATCAGATCACTGACCCCACACTTGCTTTGTAGCAGGGATTGTGGCCTGTAATCTGAGGTGTTCCTCCCGCCCACCAAGGTCTGAAATCAAACCCAAATGGCAGACTGCTTCCTCGCACATGGCTGGGGATCAAATTAGGCTAAGCTGAGTGCTGAGTGAGGTTGGTTCCTAATTAACTGTTAAGTCCCATCCTGTCTGAGTCRCAGAGAAACATGTCTTGAATTATGTTCTGTAAGGGCGCTAACACATTTTAAAGTTATTTGTTAAAAACTGAATAGTCCTGTGCAGTTTTGTTTTATCTTCTCACTCCCCCTACCTGGCTAAATTGTCCACAAAACACACACGGAAACCTTGAAAAATAAGAAACAGGGTTTAAAAAGCAGYTCCCAGTTTGCTGGTTTTGCAGGAATCTTTTAACTTCTGCTTCACCTCAAGTCCAAGGCTTGCAGCTGCATCCTCCCAGTTGATCCCCATTTTTGAAGGGCACGTAGCATTGTGTCCAAATGTATCAGCAATTTTAAAAAAAGTCATATTTATATAACAAAAATTTTGTTCTTTTAAAAAGAGATTTACAGGGCTATTTCTGGTCTTCCATAAATTTCCAGATGCTGTTTCTTGTAAATGTTTTGTTTCTACAGTATTTGATTGAGATTAATCTACTTTTGACTACAGGGCACCGGCAGCAGTCAAGTACCACAGAGCAAATATGCAGAACTTCTAGCTATCATAGAAGAATTAGGAAAAGAGATTAGACCCACATATGCTGGGAGTAAAAGCGCGATGGAGAGGCTAAAAAGAGGTAACTTTTAAACTTATTTTAAAAAATAATTGTGTCCCATACACTTTGTGTACTGACTAGTTGTGCATAGCTTCATGACAAATGTTTCATTTGCAAAGAGACAGCCTGAGCTCTTCCTGAAAGTGGGAGTGTTAACCAGCAGCTGAAACCTTGGGATGCTCTGTACAGGTCCGTGCTGTGTTTGATAGATAAACAGTGACAAAATGTGTCTCCTGCACACAGGGAGTTTCAGTTAATAATTCAAACTTTACTGTAGAACCYCTCTTGGATACATTCTTTTAGGCTTCTGCTGACTTCCTTGCCCTTTCAATTCTCTTCTCGCTCTCYAAGATCCAGGGCCAAGCACTGTTTGCTTCTTCTCACACACATCTCCCATCGACTGGGCCCAGGAATCTTTACTGAAGTGCATTTTGCCTAAAGAAATACAACATTGTGTAGTTCACACCGAGGCTGGTGGAGAGAAGAGATACAAAAAACCCCAAAATAGGTGTCAGGGAATGCTGTTCAGACTGAGATGTCAGAAATGAACATTCTCTGTCTGTGGARAGGAGAGTGGGGCTGCTCAGGCTCTGCTGCCTGCTGTCAAAGTGTGTTTCATTAGGAGTTCAGTATTAAGGGACAGAGCAGCTTTTAGGGCTGGCTGATGAGTCTCTCCAGCTTTGCCTTGTCAGCTAAAAGGGGTAATAAATGCCCTTTCCTTGCRGTGTAAAAGAAACCCCTGCATGCCCCTCTGCTGACATCAGCCTGACATTGTCCTCTGCAGGGGACGTGCAGGGATATTTCTGAAGGAGCAGTGGGACATTCCTCTGCTCCAGCTCCTGAAAAGACCCTGAAAGGCCACAGACAACAGTTCTACTGGCAGTCCTGTCCTTTACCAGCATGACATGGTTACTTTTTCCCCCCCTTGCTGTGGTCCTTGTGCTGAGATTGGCTCATGCATTTGACCCGGAATGGGAATGTTATTGTAACAGACTAACTTCAGCACCTTGCAAATCCCCCTTACATTTACCCGAGACTACAAAGCTTTATTTAAGGCTCAACCATTATGGAAGAGCAATATATCTGCCATGACATGCAATAAAATGACTAGTAGCTGTTCTGGGAAAGGATGCAATAAAGTCTGCTGATGAGTGGTAAGTGGAATCTGGCCCAGCTAAAATCAATGTTGCTGGAGTCTTCTTTATTGCATTGCCTGAGTCAGTATTAATAGATCATGAATGGCAACAGGCTAATGGGGACAGCTTGAGAGAGATGCAGACATTCTCTGGACAGGATGGTTTAGTTCAGAGAGAAAAAAGTTGCTTTGCTGCTTCTTGTAGGTTTAAGGTACAATGCTGCCACTGTGTCTCGCCAGCGTTGCAAAGAATCTCAAATAAATACTTTTTGCTGCCATCTTTTGGTCACAAAGGTACCTCTCTTTCCATTTTGGGAGCCTGATGGCTGAAGGAGCATGTGCAAGYGTGAGAGCAGAAGTGTAACCATGTGATTGCCGCCTCCGTGGCCATGGATGTTATCCCTGAATAAAGTCCCTGTCCCCAGCTCCGCCTGCTCCTAAGCACAGAGGCTACTGACCTCTAAAATTGGCCAAATTCCCAGTGTTCTACATTACTCAGGGTAGTTCTGCTGCATAAACTGGGCATCCTGCCACCAGATCCAGGTCTAACCCACTGCTTCGAGTTCATGTTTCTGCATCCCACAGCTGCAGCTCTACCTGGCTGTGGCAGTTTAACCCTCTGCAAAGCCTTGCACTCATCAAGTGCTCCCAGGTCAGTAGGCTGTTGCTGTGATCTGGGCTAGCAGCCTTCTAGAATCAGAAGCCATTATCTCTAGAGATTAACCCCCATCTATTGCCTCCTTGCCCTTTCTCCACCTTGTTAWGRAGCAAGATTGAGCAGAGAAATCACCTTTATCTTGCCWAGTCAGCAAAATATACCCCTCCTTTGTTGTACAAAAACCTGTCCACCTTTTAACATCTCCCAAGCTCTGTTCTTTCAGCAGCTCTGTGAGCAYGAATCTACATTTAGTTCCAGGATTAAGAACCAAGGTCCAGATTGCTGGAACTCGAGGCAACAGGACTTGTAGTGGAAAATTCCACATTATGTCTATCAGATGAGAGTAGACACAGCAGCATGTAAARTGATGATTTACACTGGGAGCTGAGCCAATGTTAGGAGGTAACTTTCTGTGTACACCATAAAACAACCTTATTTTTACATGACACACAACTTGTCTTTAAGCAGTTATGATAGCTTGGGTTTTGATACATCCTCTCAGAGAACTATCCCAAAGCATTAAGAACTTGCTAAAAYGATTCCCCAAATAACTATGTAATTTGTTTCACACCTCCGCAGCAAAATAACTCACCAGTAGGTAAGATTTTTTTTTTTCACTTAAATCTTTCATTTTAAGTAGGCCCACATTGCACATTAAGATCAACCTGCCACTGCAGACTTACAAATCTTACTGTGTTCTGATTCCTGGTTTAGTCCCTTTTCAATTTATATTGCAAGTTTGGGAAAGCAGACTTGTTTAGTGCCAGCTGATGTTTGGGAAGCGAGGGCTGTCCCCCTTTCCTGRGGCCTTCTATGGTAGCCTTGGCAACTGGGGACAGAAATACATGAACCKTTCTGGGGACTGTCACTGCAAGTGTGGCCTGAATGGGGTGATTTAAAACATGTCTGATTCTTTTGCAGGCATTATCCATGCTAGAGGATTAGTTCGGGAATGCCTGGCTGAGACGGAACGAAATGCAAGATCCTAGCCCGCCGACTCAGCTGCAAGATTTCCCATCTCTTCATGAAGAAAAAGTAACACTTGTTCTTTTTGACTCTTGAAACACTCAGACAGATTCCTTTATTTTGAATGTTACACCGCTCTTGTTTTGCCCTTGCAGAAATGTACAGTTAAGAATGAAAAAAAAACACAAGGATTTTTCAACTTACTGAGGGTTTGCATTTTCTAAAGACGCTGAAACTTCCCTAAAATGTTTCTAAAACATGGAAACTGAAGTGCATGCAGAGGAATGCTCTTTYTCTCCCAGGCTATATTTCAGTTCTCTTCTTATCCAGCCACAGCCTCATTCTGTTTTTTTCCTTTGACTATGTTCACTTATCCCCAAAATGTCAATCTTTCAAAGTTTGACATAAGCTCTAAGGATTTTTTTTAATAAATGCAGAATAGCATGCTGTACCTAGTAGTCTGCTAAGTCACAATTTGTCATACAGCATAGACCCTGCTTAGAAATAACCTTCCCYTTCTCTTATTTTTCCTTTTTTTGTTCATTTTGCATAAACATTGCATGACTGTTAGTGCTTTGAAGTCCACTTAAAGTGCATGAGCTATATGGAAAATAGGGAAACCTATTAAATAATAACAAGGTCCTGGAAAGCTAATTTCTACATTAAGGCTGGAGATTTCAGTTTAAAGTTTTCAAAAAAAAAGAAAAAGGAACATTCTGGATGAATTACTAAAACTGTTATTTGCATCTTTGTATGTATTTATTACTTGACGTAATAAAGCTTATTTTCATTAACAGTTTGTATTAAAACTATGTACAGTCACTTTAATCGGATTCATTCTCCAGGAGCAAGAAGTGCCAACAGATAAAAGATTTAACCTTCATGCAGGAGTTCAGGAAAGGACAAGGGAAGGGCCTGCAGACTGCTGGAGCATTCCATCCCTGGCACAGGGTGCAGTCCATCTCTGGGAGGAGGTGGAGCTCCAGAAATCTCTGTTGCTTTCAAAATCCATACTCTGGCTTTGGGTCTTTGTGGAAGGCCAAAACCCGGTGGCAGCTGGTGAGGGTGCTGTCCAAAAATGACAGAGAAGTTCTGCTTAAGCAGTTGGAGTTTTATCCTATTTTTAGGATAAAACCAGGGAAAATGAGTAACGGTGACAAAGGAAACACAGCTGCATTTGTTTGTATAAAATGGRAAACTGTCAAAATGAATAAAGGTACCAACATGGCCAAGCTTAACTGCAGCACAGCATAAACATAATAAACAACTCTAATTAATTAATTCACAGCTTGGATGAACTGGACTCTGCTGCCCTGGGAGGCAAGCTTCCAACACAGCTCATTCTTTATCTGTAATGACTCAATTCTGYCTCTGAACTGGGAGGCCATGAGTGACCATCCCTCACCTGCAGGAGATCCCTCCCTGTGTCCCAGTGCTCAGCACCACCCCAGGTAAGACCTGCAAAGCTGCTGCTTAAACTTCATTCAGAGCTGAGCAGGACAGAGCACTTGTTCAGCTGACAGATCTGAACCTGTGACTGGTGTCTCTTCCACCAGCTGCTCAGCTCACACCAGTATCTAAACCTGGTCTCAGTATCTAAACCTGGTCTCAGTTTGGAAAGGATTTATGTCACTGAAGGCATTGCCTGAGTAAGGATGGAAAGTGAGAACCTTTTAGTGCTGTTCTCGTGTGCTGGAGCTCCTACAAAGCAGCCCAAGTGTCATCTGGACAGAAGGAAATCTATTGATTCTTTTTTGGTCTCTGTTAACAATGGTGGAAAGCTTATAGCTCCTCTTTAACAAGGATTCTTTTATCTTCTGAGCTTGGCAGAAAAACTGACTGTTAAATGTGATTAATGAGATGATGGCAGGGAGAAGCAGGAATACGTGAGTGCTTTTATCTCCTCAGCTTTACAGGAACAGCAGGTCACCACCCGGGGTTTCAGCTGTGCTTATGAAGCCCTACATCATTTGTTGGATGGAAAACTGTGTTTAGGTCTAATGACAAACAATTCTCTTACCCTGCTAGGGCAAGTCAGTATTTCACATGTTTATTCCTTATCCAATTGTTGCATCTCTTTAAAAAGCTTTTTCCTTTCTAGGTTTTCCTTTGCTCTTCTTTTTTTCTCCTGCTTTTGCTTCTCTGATGCTTTCCTCTCTTTAAAAACATCACTGTCTTCACCTTTGTAGAAAAGGTCAACTTTTTCCTGCAGGATTTCTCTGGCAATCTTTCGGTTCTTCTCCACTGACCTTGTCTGATGACACTGAAGAAATATAGAGAAMATTTTTACTGAAACTTTAACCTGTCTATTCTTCTGCTCTCCCTTTCAGTCTACATATTCCTACCTTTAAAGAAAATCCCCTCCTACCCATAACAGCTGCAACTTTTATATCCAGATGATACATTTTAACAATTATTTATTACTGTTAACCTATCAGACTGGCTTTTGCATTAATATTTCATGCTTCCGTATTACCTTGGAAAGCTGCTTGAGTTTAACTGTGCCTTCCCCTTGTGACAGGAAGCAAAGATTAATTTCAAGGTATTAATCCACAAGAAGTAGGTATGAAAAATGCTTAGAAAAGATCTGCACAGTGAGTGTGATCAACTTGCTACAGAATATTCTAACTCACATGAGGGAACTGCCACCAAAAGGCAGCTMCAATGAGGCTTCATTTAACTGAAAACTACGAAACAGCAGCTGGGTGGCAGAGCCAGGAARAGCAGCTCTGACTTTAAGTTTATTTATCTGCTGACAGCTAAGACTGCTTCTTGCTGAGATTCTTTACAATATATATATAAACTTTTCCTCCATGCCATCTGCACTGTGATCATGCTTTACTCTGAGACTTGGAAGTCATGATGCACTGTGTGACTTTTAATCAAACAAAACACAATTAATTACCTTCACTACAATCCCWGATGGAATATGCTTCAGGACAACACAATTATTTGTCTTATTTGTAGCTTGACCTCCTGGACCATCACCTCTTACAAACTGTTCTTCTAATTCTGCCTCAGTGAGTTCAAGGAGAGTCAAAGAGTTCTTCTTTCTTGCTGCCTGAAGCAAGGGAASGCTGGGCAGAGAAAGCTGCTGCTTCCTCAAAATCCACCGTGTCCATGATGGTGYTYGMRCCTCTCTCAGTAAGAACGCAAAATGAAATAAATTTGGAACATTCATACAGAAACGAGGACACARCTTCTCTGGGATRAAACCTGGAATGGAATTRGGAGAGTGGAGTTTAGCGTRAGAATCCTTGTTCTAAACATGATCTACTTTTGCTGCACATATTGAGCAGTATTTTGAYATTCAGATTTTTTTTCTGAACTGGTTTCACAGGCATTTGCCTTGAAATATTTACCACGATTAATGGAATTTTGGTTCTCAGTCTAATTATGTTTATTTAAATATTTGAAAGGGATCTGGAAAACAGTAAATAAATGAACACACCTACCAACACTTGGAAAATATTAAACATATAAAAAGCCAAAACAGAGGGGAAGAAAAGTTATTTCAGCCTTGCAGTCTGACCTTGCAGTATAGTTTCACTGGGAACATGATTTTTCCCTGCTTAATTCTCAACRAGCCTTAATTTAAYAGGTTTCRYACARCTCTACGCATKTATAGGAGCCCGTTTTGAAACCAGGACTGAAAACTCTTGATAAGGTTAAAAATATCACGACCCGTCTCAGCCTATTCTTGCTGTTCGACACTACAACTCTAAAACAGGAGTAAACACAGAAGATACTGGAGAATTTACTCAATTTCCCTCAGCGCTGCGTCCGACCGCGGCCTCCCCCGGCTGCCGGGAACCCTGCAGGCTGGAGTCAGGCTCGGAGCGCGGCTCCCGGCGGGGCGGAGCGGCCCGGGGGAAGCCAAGAACCGAAAATTGAGAATCGAACGCCGAACAGACCCCACCGAGCCCCGCTCACCTCTGCCGGGCCGCCCACACTGCGCATGCGCACGCCGTGAGGGGAGGGCGGTACCGCCGGTTGATTGGCATGTGGAACAACCAATCGCTGAGCGAATCGGCGCGGGAGCCGCGCGCTTCGTCCAATCGGCTTTCTCGGGACGCGGCGCGGCGGCGCGCGGGCTTTGCCGCGCAGCGAATCAGCGCGGGAGGCGCGGGCTGGCGCGCGCTGGAGGCGGCCAATCAGCGGGCCGGGCTCACTGAGGAGCGCCCTCTAGCCCCCGTCCCCGCGTTCGAAACTCTCGGCCGCCAATCGCCGGGCGGGCGGGCGGCGCAGGGCCGCGCCTGTTCGTCGCCACACGGCCGTGGGAGGAGGCGGCTGCCGGGCACCGTGAGCTCCCAGCCATGCGGGTAGGAACCGGACGGGCCCGCGGGCAGCCGGCGGGGACAGCGCCGCTGCGCTTGGCCGGGTCCCGGAGCCGAGTCCCGGAGCCGCGAGGCCGCTCCCGGTGCTTCGCCCCTTTCCCCGCAGAGTGGCGGGCGCTGCAGCCAATCAGAGGCGGCGGCGCTGTCAACATCGCGGAGCGCGAGGGGTGACTGACCAATGGGAGCGCGGGGGCGTGGCTTGACCTGATCGGGGCGGTGTGGGCGGAGCCGCCGGGGGGCGCTGGTGAAGGGACGGGACCGTGAAGGGGCCGCGCCGAGTGAGGGGTGACAAGTGAGGGGTGACAAGTGAGGGGACAGCGCGGGGAGCGCGGCGCTTGTGTGCGGAGGGGACCACAGGGAGCCGGGGAAGGCGTCACGGACTGACCGGAGGCGGCCCCGAGGGTGCAGACGTGGCGAGAGGGGTCCCTGCGGGGGCTGAGCTCTTGGGGCGCGGGCGGCTCTTGAGGACACCTTGGGGCGCTGCCACCCCGGGGCTCGTTGTGCCTTCTGGGGGTCCCTCAGGGTTCGTGGGGAGATGGGGGCCTGGCGGCGGGGGGGACCGAGGCGCCCTGTCACCGCTTAGGGATCGGAAGGAATCGGGTCTGCCTCAGGAAGCGATGCAGAACCTCACGGGCTGTGTGTCTGCGCTGGCGCCGGCGTTTGCATCCACATCAGCGCCGATATTTCCCACTTAAAAACACCTCGCAGCTTGTTTTTGTCCAAACGTGCCCCTTTCTGCAGCGGCGTGGCCGTATAAGGTCCGTGCTGTGCTGTGGGGTCGATGGATGACAGCGCTCCCGCAGCACAGTTACAGCTCCCTAATATATTTTTTTTTTATTGCGAACAGACTTCTAATGAGGTTATGAAACGAGCCTGTGTCACAGCTAAGTCCCACCCATTTGCTGTGCTGCCGAGATAGGCCACCCATGATTCCATCCTGGGGATCCGGGGGTGACTGCTGCAACCCCCATTCCCAACCTCAGCTTTATCTGTCGGCTTAAATGCCTGACAACCTCCAAGTTTTGCAGGCGTCTGAAAGAAAAAGAGCCGTGTTTTTCTTCTTTTCTTTATCCCAAGATGCTCTGCCAGCGGGTTATGTGTGTCTTTGATAATTCCTTCCAATTCTGGCATTTTCAGCCCTACGTGGAGGAGATGGTGTGAGGGAATACCTGCAAAACATTTCTGCTAAAGCCAAGCAGGCTCCAGTAAAACAGGGAAAAATCAGACAGTTGTCCGTTCGTTTCCTTCTGGTGAAAATRTTTTATACTTCTGAAACTATTARAGATACATCTCAATGTACTTGTAAATAATGAAAACTTGAATCTGTAAAACCCATCAGAGTGCCTGTGTAAGCCCTGTAAAGAGGAATGGTCGTGCTTTGGAGGTTTTGTGCTTCTTTAAGGCAGCAGGAATTTATTCTTGGTGTTATCACAGGCTATCAAGATATTTCTTAATGTGTCTCTTTGCTCTCCAGCCATGAAATGATCATAAGGTTTTTCTTCAGTGTTGGAACACAGGCTGAATTCACCAGGGTGTAGAACATGCTGAAATAAGCCCTCTGTAAGAACTGATTAATTAATGGATTTCAAGTGTTTTCTTAGTGAAAGTATGCAAACTGGAAGAATATTTTAGTCTCTCTAAAACCAGTCTGCTTTTGAATGCTGTAAGACTATAGCAAAAGTATTGTATATTTATTTATTTATGATGCTTTCAGTTAACCAGCTGCTGGTTTTAACCACTGTGGGATTCCTGTTTGACTCCTTTTTTTTTGTTGTTTTATTAATTGGTCAGAAATGTAGCTCAAACCTATTTCAAAGCTTTCTGAATTAATGTTACATAATAACAATGAAACAAGTGATCTGCAAAAAAAGTAAGCCAAATATTACACACAGAAATAGCAGATTTGGTTGATTCAGTTGGTCTGAGTTTTATTATTTTTGGTGAGTTTCTTTCAGTGAAGGTTCAGATCCTCAATCATATTTAAATACATTGATAACAGGCTCTTTCACACCTTGCAAATGGTCTGTGGAGCCTCAGATTAAAAGAATTCAACCCAGTAGCACAGGAGAAGGAAAGGAGGGGGTCTGGCTGTGGAATATTTGCACTTTCTGGGATGGTTTGGCTGGAGCCTCTTCAACTCCCATTCTGTTTCTTCACGCAATAAAGTCAAATGCTTTTTTTAAAGAAAGAGGGTGATGCTTATTTCACTCTGTTTTCAGGGTGATGTCCTACTTGGGGCTGAGATATGGAAAACTGTGATGTGGTGAATTCTGTACAAGAAACGCCTTCATCTTCAGCAGACTCTGATGTCAGAAACACCCACAGCTCTGACTGTGACTTGAACTGCAGCAGGTATTGTGCTGAGGAATCACTAATATTTCTGTTATTTTGGTTTTGCTGAGTTAAAATGGCCTTACAGTAATCTTGGTATTAAGGTGAAATTTTTATTTCACCATGRTGAGAGTCCCAATGTAAATTGAGTGTGTAATTCTCTTCTGGCAGTCCAGCATATGTCACGTATTGTTTTGGCYGCTGTGTTGCACAACTGGCACAATGAATAATTGAACTTTTTTTCCTCGTGTTTCACTAGAAGTCCTTCATCCAGTGCCAATGGAGTTTCTGGTTACTCAGGGAATACCAGGTCCTCATTAAAGCCTGGTTCTGTTGAGCTGCTTGCCTCCTTTATGCAAGATATCCAGAACATTGGACATGCTCACTCGGAAAGTTTGAGGAACTGTGAGGTATTTGATGTTAAGGTTTCTTATTAAAAAATGATGTTAATGGATTTGCTTTGCATTTTGGAAGACAAATCTAATTATATAAATCAGCAACAAATCTGTATATGTGTTTATTTTTCATGGTGGGACAGATCCTTTTACTAAAAATGAACTAATCACCTGGCTGGATTTTACTAAAATTGTATCTTAGCATTTTACAGTATTTTATCTTTATATCTTAGTGTTTTGCAATACAGATCTGAATACTTTTTTTCCCAAATTACAATACTTAAAGATAGCAAGTTTTTGAACTGAAAAATTGAAATCGTGAAAATTGTATCGAATCAAACTGATCTGAAGAGATCCTAGAAATTAGTTTTTTTTCTATAAATGGTCCTGTTTTGCTTGATTTGTTTATGTATTCCATTTGTAAAGATGTGTAGATGATTAATTTGTTTCCAGATTTAAACTAATGCAAAAATAATGATGTAGTACCCATGAACTAATTCTTCCAAACACTTTTTTGAATGTTTTTTGTCCTTTTGTATTTTAAATTTTACCACTATTTTTAGTCATCATAAGGAACATCAGTTTTCCATACCATGGGTTTGTTCCTGCAGAATTTTTGAGCTTTCTGGCTGAGATCCATCCAAGTATCTGTTGACAGATGCTTAATTTGGGTTCTCTTTAACACCTCCAGGAACAGAATATTGATGTCTGTGTCCCGTGTCCTGTGCTTCGAGCACCAGGCTTCATAAACATCAGCATAAAACATTTTTTAAACATCAGATTTTTCCACATTTCAGGAATGTTGTATATTTGATTTTTTTTAAATGATCTCTTAGTTTTCACTGCATGATGATGCCTCATGGCCTTTAGCTGGATTTCTGAGGGGAAGAGTTCCTTATTGAAGTGAATGGACAAAGAGGTGTTTAATTCTCAATTTTGGGATTGCCTATAATTAATGGAACTGGAATCAACCTTTCCAGAATTTGACTGTTCTTTGCTGGCAGCTGTTTCTACTTTTAGTTTCCATTGATTGGCACAGTGGGGGCTGAATGTTGTGGGGTGGGCAACCACGGTGCTGTTACTCAACTTTGTGTTATGTCAACACCCAAAAAACCATTTGTATCCAGAGAAAAAGGTAAAAGGTGCAATGTGGCTGAGCTTTAATTATTTTTTTTTGGTGATTTAATAGGCAAGGTGGCTGCAGCTACTGAGACTGGCAGAAAAACAATGTCAGGAACAAATAGTTACCCAGCAAGAGCAGTTCCACCGTCAAATCCAAGTAAGTAATGACTTTTCATGGAGGTGGATGAGGCTGAATGTTTGTTTTCTACCCCACACTCCTCCAAAATAGTGCAGAGAGGCAGTTAATGGAAGTGGATGACTGGAGTGCTGTTTGGAGGATGCAAATTTGAGACAGCCTTGGCTAAATAACAAAGTAACTGGTGGGAACCATTTCAGAAGTGATTTGTGGATTATTTGTTTTCAACTGTTTTGTTTTCACAAACATTTGGTTCAGAATGCTCACGTGATAATGGGATTTTGTAGGTACAAGGTGGTTTTTATTAACTGTCAGACTGTGTAATTTCTAATTTTGAGACAATGTAGCTTTCTTTTCATTRAAAAATGTTAYACAAYTGATCATCCCYTCATCCAGGCAGTATATAGCCTAGGAAAACCATCACTGTAATAGCTGAACACTTACTTCACCTTCAGTTGAACAGCCTCCTTTCTAAGAATGAAGAATAACCATGTGAAGGTGGTTCCCATTTTTGCTGAACTGTATTTATCCATTAGAACAGGAGAAATGTGTATGTTTGTATAAGAGATAGTAATACTACAAATATATAATGCTTAATATCTTCATCATTTTGGTTGCTGTTTTTCCCTTCCCTTTCCTGATGCCCTCCACACTAGTAGTAACCAACAGTTCCTGAACTGAATTAACAAGAGGTACTGTCCTTTTATCCTATCTCCTGTTTCTCCTGCCTCACCTCCCCACCTTCCTCTCCTCCCTCCCATCTTGTTATTTTGTTATTAAGTGTTTCCTTACACCTGTATTTCCTTCCTTTCCTGTGGTGTTTTGATTCACTCGTTGCTGATCATGGTCTTTACTAATCCATTGTGTTGGCTTTGCTGGTTTTTGTCTTTTTTAATAGGAAAGGTTACCTCTGGAAGAGCTGGGGGTGTGGTTTCAGCAGGGATTTACTAACTGCATGGATTGCCACACTAAATAGAAAATCTACAGCTGTAACTGAGTTGTGTGAATGCATTAGATAAAATAGATGCAGCTATTCCAAACTTCAACTGGTGTGCCTGTGACCCAGTGAAAACACTGAAACGCAGGCTAGACACATTCTAGTGAGGATAATAAAAATACACAATAATAGTAATAATAATAATAATAATAATAATAATAATAATGATAGTCTACTATTTGTGGTAGAAAAGCAAGATGCTGACATGACTCTGAGATAGGGTTTGCTCTGTGCTGGGTTTTGAGACCAATTGTGCTTGTGAAAATCTTCATCCATGTGAGAACAGGGATCAAAAGACCTTGAGTTCATTTTGGATCAGTGGGGTCAGCCCTTGGCTTACATGATCTATGCAATAGAAGACAAGTGTGCCAAGGACAAGCTGTCACCACCTGTGGATGGTCTCAAGATCAGATTTTATCAAAGAGAATTTAAAAACAAAAGTTACCAGCCCAAAACGCCAAAAATCACATCTTACTTTCCTCTTTTTTTTTTTTAATCTCTTGCAATTATTTGTGAGTATTCAAAAATCAGTAAAAATGCAATTTAATTAGAATAGTAGCCTTTCACTTTTCCTGCACAGGGTATTAATGACAAAGATTAAATGTCAGCAGTGAATCTGATCTTCTTTCCCCCCACTCCAGTTCTGTTCTTTCCCTTCTCCCTTCCTTACCTTCCAGACTGAGTTGGATCACAGAATTGGAGCACAAATGATTGCTGCAGTCATGATTGAAATAGCAGAACACAAAATTTTGTAGTGGAAGGGAAACTTCATCCCAAGTTTTTTGTTTGTTTGTTATTTTTGGCAAGAAAGACTGAGCTGAAATTCAATTGTTAGTTCTATTGCAAGTTAATCAAAAATCTGAGGCTAGATCCTGACTAGCATTGCATATAGGTTCCTCTGAAATTAAGTTGTCTTTTTTATTTCTTACTTTAGAAGAATAAATCATTTTTGTTCAATTTGTACTTTCCAATTGCTATTCACATGTGAGTAATGTTCTGTAGTTCTGTGAAAAAAACATGAGTTCCATGTTCTTAAAATTATTGCAAGTTTTCTTCTTGTTTCTTTCCTGAGGGAATTAGTTTGAAAAATGTTCTGGAATACAGCTTTATGCTCTCTCTTGTCATGTGCAAGAGTTGTGTGCTCCTGCAGTTCAGTAATCTCAGTTGAACTCTGCAGAAGTGCTGGCCATGGGCACAAGTGGGAATTCTCTTTGCAGCCCTTGGCAAAAGCATGAATTATTTCTCAGAGTTGCTTCAGTATTGCCAATGCACAGCTGTAAAATTTAGAACTTAAAAAAATTGCTCATCTAACATGCTGAAAAAACTCTTTTCAGACATTGCAGACTAAAGAGTAAGTGATCTGTTAAATTTAATGATCTGGTTATAGGTTTGCTGCACTCCATCAGACACCAAAACAATCAAAAGGTAGAACTTTGTGTCATGCAACCCTAATAACATAATATCTAAATTGGGTTTTTTAAAGTCGAGTTTTATGCAGTTAATCTTGCAGAGGTACATTATTCCTATTCTCATAATAGAGTAATGGTTAATTCTTTCATTAAAGCGTCCTTGCAATCTTTAAAAATGTATATCCAAGTGAAAAAGTGTTTCAGACTTAAATGTAGCAAAACAGCTGGGTAGTTTGTATTTCTTCAGCTGGGTGGTAGGTAACTATAGTTCTGAGGGCAATTAATGGATACATTCATGCATGGTTTTTACGTGAATAAATGACTACTGAGACTTGAAATTCACTGCATGGAATTAAGGATTGTTCCCATGGACATTTTACTGTTATGCACAGTATGTATTTAGCTACTTGATGCATGAGATGGCATAAACACTCTAAATCTCCCACTAACAACATGAATCCAAGATGCATCACAAGAGATGGATGTGATTTGTGGCAGGATGTGATGGGAATGGTGCCTTTTGCTCTCTGCAGCTGATTCAGGATGAGATAAGGCAGCTGCTGGGCTTGCAGAGCAGCACTTGGAGCCGGGGTTTGGTTGCTGAGCTCACAGACACTTCCTCAGCACCAATGGGGATGCGCTCAGAGCTCTTTGAGGAGCAGGAGAGCATCACCAGCCAGCTGAGATCCTGTGAATTGGAGTCCCAGGCCAACGCCTGCCATGTGCAGCAGGAATGTGCAGAGAGCGACGCCTCCATGAACAGCGGCTACGGCACCCTGTCCACCTCCGAGCTGAACCCTGCCACAGGCAGTGCCAGCAGGGACACAGACTGCATGGAGAACACTCCCCAGGGACTTGAAACCAGGCCAAGGCTGGACAGCCATGCAGGAGTGGACAGTGTGCAAAATAAAAGAGAACTTTCACCAAAAAAAACAGAGGAAAATAGTTCGTCGGGAAGGAATGATGTTTTAGTTTTTCCTGCTGAATTTGAGCATAAAGGTGATGAAGATCAACGTGGGAAGAAACCCAGGTAAGTGATAAACTTTCCAAATACATTAATTTATTAGAGACAATTCCCATGCAGATAAAACTGGTGGTCACTGGGAACATGTATGGGTTGAATGGAACTTCTTGATGCTCAACTGCTTGATAGATAAATATATTTATTTAGCCTGATGTTTCTCAGTGATGCAGATCTGCATCTGCAGTGTTTAGCTGTTGTAGATACATTTGGTGAAAATACCCTAAGGTGTATGTGTGTGTTTCTTTCCATCCAGTAAATCTTTAACGTCATGGGCGCAAAAGTTGAGACAAACCCAACCAAAAAGAGTAACTGCAGATGAAGTATGTGCGACCTCTATGCAAGAAAATGAGAGAGTGAAGAGATTACCACTTGAGAATGTAAGTCTCTTCTTATTTCATTATGTTTTTTTCTTGTAACTGCTATTTTTTCAGAACTACAGCATGTTCTCATTCAGGATATACTTTCATATGTAACTTCAAGCATTTGAGTTCCCATTCACATATTTAAAGTTCATGTGGGCAAAGTTTACTTCTTGAATCATTCCATACTTAGGCACGTAGCTATTTTGGTTTCTTTTATTCATTGCCTGATTTTTGTCTTAACACTTCCCTGAGTGGCACAT